AGTCCATTTTGTTTTTCACTAATTAAGTAAAAAGTAAAACAAACCAATAGGGCCGGGAATTAAAATTTCTTGCAACTTTTTATAGAAAAGCATGACCTTATCATAATATAAAAGTCAATCATTTAGCCATGTAATAAAACTTTTAAGTGTGCCAGTCAAACATTAATGATGATATTCGGGTCATTATACTGGAAATAGTCTTTTAAATATTTTGTAGTACAATTGATAATCTTCAGTATGATTGACCGTGTATATGACTTTTATAAGTCTATGTTATTTTTGATGAAAATTATTATTGCAGATAAAAGCCCTTTCACATTTATTTTAGTCTGGAATTAAATTAATCAAAATGAAAATAATAACATTGGCTCTTTATAACTGATCTTTAAATGTAAAACACTGACTTGAAATTATATAATTATGGGCATTTTTTTAATTCATTGAACTTTTTTAAGATTTTGTTGAAACTCTACTGGTAAAAAAACAAATATATATATATTATAGTTCTTGATGAAAATAATGTATGCGCGTTACATCGCATCCCATCAAGAATTTCTAATGTAATTCTTGGTGTAAAGCTAAGGCGTGATAATAACTGTAAACAATAGAATAACAAAATAATGAAAACATTTACATTTACATACAAAACATTTACAAAAATACTTGCTTTATAACCTTATAAATATTATTTGACCGTAATAAAATAAAACAAGGTAGTCTTGGGCATGAAAGTAAAAATAAATATTTTCGATTATTTTTGCAATATCTAACAGCCGGATCAGCGGGCGATTCTGATCCATCTAAAGATGCTAAATTTCAGCAAGCACTGTCAAATTCAATAGGAGTGACAGAAAACCGGTTCTTGATATAGAAAGGTAAATAAATTATTTAACCTATAAAGTAAAATCACTTTATTACAAATCCATATCCAATAGCCCAATAGCTTTATTAACATGAGACATAATTGTACGAGTGCTTACATACTTAACATTATTTTACTGAAATCTTAGAAAGTTTTTTTTTAAATAGAATAAGGGTGACAAACGAGCACACAATCCACCTGATGGTAAGTGGTTGCTACGGCCTATACACATCTACATCTATCCTCGATTACGTATCAAAATGTAGATGCGTTGTCACCCGTGAGGACTAAGATGTAATGCCTCGTTTCCAGTAAAAAGGTCCTCCGGTTCTCTACACTCACCATAGGAAACACAGCAGGGTTAAACTGCTATTTTACATGTTATTCCGTGAGAGCGTGGCCCTTCCCCGGTCGAGCCGACCCATTCGTGCTACAACTATACCTACTACTAATATAGCTGCAGCATGGCTCTACCACGTAAAAAAAATTGACGTTGAAAATTTAAGTATTTTTAGAAGCAACTTTGCAATTATTAATAATGGAAGATATAATATTATATTATTACTGTTCCGTGTGAGGTAACCTTTATACTTATATACATATTCTCATCATATTTTTATGGTTGGTTAGAAAAATTATACCTAAATGCAAACTTTCACAGGGTAAATTTTTTTTTTTACTATTTTTACCCAGCAAGTAGTAAAGCAACTACAATCCCATCGGTAAGTGGTTATGTAGTCTAAGATGGTGAATTGCACTGACTTAACAAAAACCTATTCACTCTTGCCTAATAGTACTAGGTAAGTATTATTTGCGACCTATTTGTGTGTGGGTGTGCGTGCTTGCGCGCGCGCGCGCGCGCGTGTGTGTGTGTGTGTGTGTGTGTGTGTGTGTGTGTGTGTGTGTATGTGTGAAGAAAAGCGTATGAGAATACGTGACGAGGAATAAAGGTTGAGTACTTCGCTTACCTGTACGAGGTTGCCACTCGAGGACCTTTCTTCCTATTTTTTATGTTTTCCAAGTTATATAGCTAGCCCATTGCCATTTCACTGTAATATTCCGTTGAGCTATGTCAGTTACTCTGGTTCTAATGCAAATACCTTCATTTCTAACTTTATCACGTAGAGAAACCCCTCTCCAATTTAAAATTTTTACATTTTTTAGATGATAGTTTGCCTAACAAAAAAAAAAACCATAAACCCAAGAATGTCTTTATATAGTTATTTATACTTAGGTAAGCACCATTCTTTTATTTATTTAAATTGTTTGATTTAATTTGATAACAGTGTACCTAAATGTAAGTATCTGTATCTTTATTTCCCTCCCCAATAATATTTTATAAAGTTAAACTCATAAAAACAGAGTTTTATTGCAATACATGATTATAAAACTCTTTATCAACTAATTAATAAAAATATGCAACAATAAAATTACATAGGTATTAAAAACTATCGAAATCTAAGTAACGAGAGCATGTTCGTCGTTCCACATCTAAATTATATAAAAATGCATTTTTCAATTTCACTAAACAACGTCGTCGCAAAAATTTCTTCTTCTTTGGGCACTTTAAAAATTCATTTATTTAGAAAATAATATTTACAGTTACCAGTGTACAGATATTAACTAAATTAAGTATTTCTAGTCATAAAAATATTTATAATTGAGTATAAACTTTTAAAAAACTAATATATATTTAAACAAAGTCGCTCCAACACCGACGTGCGGTCCACCCTCGACGATGTCCGAAAACGGACTGTGACAGAGCTTACATGGCGACGGAGCATGCGCGCTCGCGTAAATATATTCAATTTCAGGGAAAAATGATATATTCTCTTATAAAACGGGTAATAAAAATAAAACTCTCAATTAAAAATATTAATATTTTTAAGACCTTTTTTTTAGTGTAAGAACTATTTAAAAAGCTTGTGCCGTTTTGGAGAAATTTTGCAAAATATGACAAAGATAGGTACTCTTTGGGGATTTTTTTTCTAATAAGGGGTTGACAAAAATACAATTTTGTTAAATTAAAAACATTTATCAAATCTTCTTCTGTTACCCTGTATTTTTTCTTTGTGGATTAAATGAACAGTTATTGAGATTTTTTTACTTAAATATCCTAGATTTAGGCATTTCAACCACTGTTAAGGCCTTAATGAGGTCGATTTAGTCCTATTAGTGTAATCTTTTTTGTAATTGATCCGTACAATCGTTTCAATTTAGATAAAAATTTTGGTCTGTTTTTGTTTTATTGCTACATTTACTATTTGTATTAGTTATTGTAGGTTTGGTTTGTAAATGATGGTAGCTGAAATCTTTAGATGATCTTTGTATAAATAATTTCATAAAAGCTTTTAGAAAAATTTACTTCGCAAATATCCGCGTTATAAAATAAAATGATGTGTCTTACCTAGTATGATGAGCACCTCCCGCCCTCCCTCAATTGTGTGCACTATTCCCGTCACCACTAATCCCAGCACCGCTACTCCCAACACCACTACACTAGGCAAGACACACCACTGACGTTAAGACGACACGTATTTTGCCTCTACACGAGGCATCCTCAGGTGATATAGACTCTACGGTGGCTAACCGCTAAGTGAGCGGCGAGCCAAAACAAGTGCCTTTTATACAGACCGATGACGTAACCGCTCTCTACTTAAGGAGCGAGCGACTGCGTCATGCGATAAAACATGTAGATGATCTGCGGTTGCGTCTTGCCTAGTGTAGTGGTGTTGGGAGTAGCGGTGCTGGGATTAGTGGTGACGGGAATAGTGCACGCAATTGAGAGAGGGCGAGAGGTGCTCTTCATACTAGGTAAGATACATCATTTTATTTTATAACGCGGATATTTGCGAAGTAAATTTTTCTAAAAGCTTTTATATAATGGATTTCCGCAAAGTAACGCCTGATTCTATTAATTATTCATAATTTCAGATTATTTTGAGTTTGCATTTGAGAAATCAAAGATTTCTGAGGAAAAGACCTATGTTTAGGGGTAAATTCCGCAAGTTCAGCAGATGTTTTAATTCTTTTATTACAATTAGACGTCTTAGGTACTAATTTTTGTTTACGAGTCAATTTCACAACATCCTCTATCTCACAGTCACCATTCAAATAGAAATCATCCAGAAAATTAGGACAAGGGCTTGCTAATATCTCATCAGTTTCTTCTTTGTTTTGGGTGTAAGGTGACTCAATGATTCCGATTTCAGACAGCATAGTTTAATCCATTATAGATGGGGTCTCATAACAGGATGACACTGATGGTAAATTCTGATAAGAATCGGTAATATTGATATGGGATTGTTCCGAAACACTGGGTATTTGCGATAAATAAGGACCATAATGATTATGTGTAGGATATTCAATAGAATTCAAACACGGGACAGAAGAGGTTTGATGAACCGTAACTTGGCTGGATCGAACATAGTATAGACTCAACGTAGGAACTATCATATCTTTTGGGGATAGTGAAATCTCATTTTCACTTTTAGTTTCACTAACACCTGCTGTATGTATGTTTGTAGTGACGAATTTCTGAGCATCATCTGCATCAGAAGTTTCTTCGCTAGCTTTATCAGGTAAAACGAAAGACATAATGCGCTGAAAATATAAAAAATTACTCAGGCTAGAAATAGTATTACGCTGACGTCAGTCTCGTAAGTGTTCAATTGGTAATAATGTTGTTCTGACTTCGGTCGCTGATCAGTTTATATATTATATACTGGGTGGCGCCCAGGTTATCACGTTAAATAGCACAACAGTTAATACAAGTTGATATATGTCTGTTAAAATAATAAAATAAACAATAATAAAAACTAATAAAAAATGCATCTTTCAAACAAAATAAATAGGGTAAAAAATCACATAAAATAAATCATCCTTGATAATATTACTTAACTGACCTGAAATGACTTGTAGAAGCGGCAACGTCGCGGCCAGCGGTTCATTGCTCATGCGACATCGATATAGGTAATTATATTATAATACCTAGGTCCTAGGACTTGCCCATATATAGGTAATTAGGCACGCGTAGGGCGATGCTAATCCGATGTTATCAACAAATCACAAATTTCATGGTATTTTTTTATCCAAATAATCACTTTAACCTTGAAATCACTCAAGTTTATGAAACAAATCAAATTTTTAAATTTTCAAAATGTCCGCCGTGTACCCGAATACATAATTGACATCGTCGCATGATATTATTTCGGACTTTTCGAAAGAGGGCACCATTGGCTGCAAAATTTTTTATTTTGTCGAAAGCCCGCATTATTCTTATTTTTAAGTCCTCGACAGTCGTTACTTCAGTAGAGTACACCTCATTTTTTATGTAACCCCATAAAAAGAAATCTAACGGTGTTAGATCCGGAGACCGTGCTGGCCACCGAGAAGGTCCGTATCTGCCAATCCAGTTCTCTCCGAACATCTCAGTGAGGCGCTGCCTGGCAGCCACCACTGAATGAGCAGGTGCTCCATCAAGCTGGTACCATAACCGGCTATTGGCCCCCAACGATAGTCCATCAACGTAATCCGCCACTGTGTCGTCAAGTAGTTCCAAAAATTTAGGCCCATTAAGGTTGCCTTCGATAAACACGGGACCAATTATTTGATCTCCGTGTATTCCAGCCCAAACATTAACGGCAAATCTATATTGGTGCATAGACTCTCGACACAGTTGCGGATTTTCTTGACTCCAGTATCGTAAGTTCTGCCGATTCCATATTCCGTTACGCGTGAATGTGCTCTCGTCAGTCCACATTACGTTTGCTAAAAAGTTAGAGTCATTAGCTACATTGCTCAGGAGCCATTCACAGTAGGCTTCCTTAACTGGCTTATCTCTATCTAATAAAGCCTGTACCTTTACGTATTTGAACGGCCGTTGCTTGTTTTTTTTTAATATTCTCTGAACAGACTTGTGGTGTACACAGAATTGGCTTACGAAAATAAATTGGATTGGATTGGATAAATTGGATTACGAGCGAAATAATTTAATATTCGTTCTTCCTGAGCCACGGCGACTCGCGGAGGAATTTCAACCTGACGTGGAATCAAATTTTCGCCGTCACGTAATCTTTGGACTGCCCGTATAAAAATCCGTGAGTCTGTAGGACATACACGTGTGGTATTATACCTCTCTCGGTATGTTCGTAATGCCAGGGACGCGTTTTGGTGGCATTCTCCATAAATTAAAACCATATCGGTGTATTCCAATGACGTAAAATTGATACGAGGCATTTTAAAATAAAAAAAGTTATACGTTTAAAAAAATAAAAGCGTCCAATTGCGCACGGGCTGACACACCACTAAGTTATTAAATATCACTTATCTATTATTAACGAGTCCTATCACAAATAAAAAATACAAGACAGTAAAAGAAAGCGTCAAATTTCGCACAAATAGTCACACCACCTCCTCAACACAATTATTATAATAGTATTAACGTGTCCTATCACAAACAAATCAAGAAACTTATGAAAATATCCACAAAAAAAAACTTTAAATTAAAAGGACGTGTACGCGAAAAACTAAAATTAGGTCAAGCGATTAATGAACCGTTCCCAAGGACGCCGGCGTCGGACTAAGTGACTTACTGTCTTACTTTATCGTCGCACGCGCCAATCGACCACATCCCACCCTCCCAACACCCCGTCCCAATTCTTGTCGCATCGCGCATAAGAATTATGCCTTATTTTGTTACATATAAGTACATTTTTTGCTTAATTTATTACTTTATTTGATTATTTAAAATTGGCAACGTTGCACTATAATACAATATAGGTCTCTTGGCCTTCACGGGCCATGGGTCTTTGAACTTCTAGTATTTATCAGGTGATATCTGATGCATTTACATGATGTTGTTTAATATTAAAACAAAAAAAAGGCTACCGCGCCCAGAATGTTAATTGTTATATATTTTTTTAGTTGTGTATGTTTAAAGAACTTTGTATAGAATACGTCTTTTCATTTAACGTGATAACTTCATCGTCACTTTGTATACTGACTGACGTCAGCGTAACACTATTTCCAGCTTTATGACCATCTCAAAACAAAAAAAAGCACGAGGAATGTAAAAGCATGGGCAATATTGGTGAAATAGTATTTTTAAAGTAACCTACAAAATACACAAGAAAAGTACTATTAACTGGCTACTGCTCTTTAAGCACTGCAATATACTACCAGTTCATACACAAGTCAAACATTTACTTTTAAAAAAACACTTTTTTAATGAAGAGTTAAAATTAGAAATTAAGCACCCCATGTGTACGCGCGCCGTAAACAGCCGCAAGCTGCAGACGAGCCATGCAAACAATATGTACGGGGAACGATCGGCAAGTTACATTGTTCCACGACTTATAAACAACCTACCCCCAGATTTCCGCGATAACTTAAATATAAAAAACATTAAAAAAAAAACTTAAAATGTACTTTTTGAGTAATTTATAAAAAAAATTACTACTTAAAACAGCGTATATGCGTTTGCTCAGGTCCTAATTAGGCTGTAATGTTTCCTTTTTACAAACTACATTAATTATACTTAATGTAACGTCGACTCTGGTCGCGTCATCACAAACCTTAGTAGTTTTCTGTATGCGACTTTTTAGTATAGTTTTTTTTGTAATGCTTTATAATATGGTAAATAAATTAAAAAAAGTGCCCTGTAAGGCACATAAACACTTTTCTTTTAAATGAACGTGTGCACTGTAAGGCACAACATATAATTTCAGGTAACCTGAAAAGGTGACCTACAGGGCACAACTCAATTTCGACGTAATAAAAACTACTTTATAAATAATTATGATTTATGCAAATACTACATATGAGAAGTTTTATGTTCCTACTATAAATTTCAAATTGAAAAATAATGAATTTAATAGATCTACTAAGTTATTTTTATTATTATTTATCTCAATGCACCGGACACTCCTTTACCCTTCTGAAATTTTGTTTCGCAATGACAGTAAACGTTACTTTTGACACTTAAAATTTTTTATTCTGTATATTTTTAAAGTGACTTAAATTATAAGTAATGAAAGTTTTTTAAAGCTGAAAATAATTATAACAAAAAATTTTATTAAAATTCCGGTGATCTCCAGGGCACATGCCAATGTAAGGGTTAAGGTATAATTCCGTAGCCTACTGCAGGCAGCAACAGCAGCCGAAGTGTCGCCGCGACATGTCGTGGCGTCATGTCGCTTCAGTCATGATTCTGAATCCGACTGCAGGCGGCAGCAGCCCGTGTTCCAATCTGTTCCGAATGTTCTGTGGGTTCTCTGTTCATGTAAACAAAATAGGTACTTACTACCGCTTTTATTTAACTCCATTTCTATATTTTTTTCAAATATTATCTTTTATCACACTGTTTAAATAATTATTGTGATATGCATCGTACAGTGTGGGCCACCTGGTTTATCAGTTTCTCTTCCTCGGAATTGGTGAAAATAATTTTGAGAAAAATTCAACGAGTCGCTCGGGCGTTGGTTAACGATCAAACTGCGAACTCACTTATTATGCTTATTATGAAGAAAACCCACGTATTGTTACGGGTATAGAATAGAATAGAATAATAGTCGAGAGTGATGCCAAGAAAAACAGTGGATTCAACAGGGCTCAGTTCTTGCCCATTTAAAAACACATTGGTACTCAGATTTTTAACATTCGTTATTGTTAGTTTTATTTCTGTTTAAATGTAGATTATTTACGTTAAACCAATGCACTAATTTTGATATAGCATTATTCACTTCGTCACATTTAAATGATTGACGTTTAAGTTTAAAAATCAAGGAAGTATCATCAGCAAATAATACTATATCATGATTATCCTCTACAAGAGAAGGTAAGTCATTAATATACACTAGAAATAGGAATGGGTCGAGAATCGAGCCCCGAGGGACACCCATTAGTACAGGTGACCCGGAAGAATTTTTACCATTGATAATAACCTTCTGCTTTCTATTACTTAAATATGAAATAATAAGTTTAAGCGCTGTGTTCTTGACACCATAGTACTGTAGCTTCCTGATTGATGTCTCATGGTGAACGCAGTAGAAGGCCTTGGAAAGGTCACAAAATATACCCAAAGCATTCTCTGAATTCTCCCATGCACAAAAAATATGTTTAATAACCTCAACTCCAGCGTCAGTTGTCGAGCGACCCCTTGTAAAACCGAATTGATTTCTATGTAGCAATTTATTAAAATTAAAGAAACTTAACATCTGATCTAAAATTATTTTTTCAAAAATTTTACTAAATGTTGGTAGTACAGAAATTGGTCTATAATTGGCGGGGTCTAATGTACTACCAGATTTAAATAAAGGTATGACTTTACTATGTTTCATTAAATCAGGAAACACACTAGATTCGACGCTTGTATTAAATATAGTGGCTAGATAAGGTGCTATTATATCTATTATACATAAAATAACTTTAACGGAAATCCCCCATAAATCTGCCGTTTTCTTAACATCAATAGTTATAAAATAGTTAACGATATCTTTTGGCAGTACTCTATGGAATTTAAAAGTATTTGAACAAGCCTTTACATTTTGTTTGAGCAATGATTCGGCGACAGTAGGAGAAGGGTATAATGATTTAGTTGTCAAAAAAGGAACATCATTAAAATGTTTCTCAAAAGCCATAGCAACTTCTTGATCAGATCGAGTTAAATTATTGTTAATATTCAATTGAAAATCCGAGTTGCGCGGTTTGCCCTTGCCCGTTTCACTATTTATTATTCTCCAGGTCATTTTAATTTTGTAAGATGCAGTTTTCCTGTGGCAATCCCTGTATGTAAGGCAGTATGAACAAGACAATTTTGTGTACATTTTTTGTATGTAATGCAGTGTGAACAAGACAATTTTGTGTACAATTTTGTGTACATCAGGGCAATTACGGAACCCTACCTCTACATTGTGCGTGGCCCGACACGCACTTGGTCATTTTTTTATGTACTCTCATCGCAAAACGGTCACAGTGTCGTAAACTATTAACAAAATGCTTAATAACTAAATTTGCTTCAGCTTAACGTATGAAAATTGCGGTCCAAACAATAGACCGCTTGATTCTTGTTCGTTAAATTATTTCATATATTCTGAAACATACTTGTAACTTCGTTTTCGTTAGTGTTATCTTTTAACTTTGGCCAAACTTGGTAAATATCTGCTTAACAAATGTATAAAAAAATTAAAGCGACGAAAGCAAGTGTTTATCATATACTCTTTACACGAAAGTAATGACTGCGTGCAAAAAAGTATATGAAACATGTCATAGACGACCTGTCACGTTTTGACCTTCTGGAGCTTATGTTTTATGTCAGCATTAATAAACCATAACATGTAAGTAATTAAAACACGGCATGTTTTAAACTAATATTTCCTATTAGCTGTTATTATCAAATATTAAAGTACTAGTCGAAGTGAAGTTTTGAGTTTTATTAAAAACTGAATACTTTATTTAATATGTGATAGTTATCGTTCATCATTATCATCATTACAGTCCATTACAAATCCGCTGCTGAACAGGTTCATGTTTAAAGGTGTTGAATAAGTTTTCCGTGTAGTAGTGTTGTAAGAATATCCGCTACCCCATATCATCCCGTGGCTGTCGTAAGAGGCGACGGAGGGAAACAAATCAGGAGATGGCTAGCAGCGTCTTTCTAATAATCACAAATATCACCCCTATGTGACAATCTATGGGCGACATATGTTTAGCGAGGAAATGCGGGCCGAGAGACTTCAAAATTAGGTATATGAAGAAACTATC